AAAAAGAGAGGAAGGAAGAGAAGGGAAAGACCAGCGCTCCTGAGCGGGCCAGGAAACATGGTGACAGGGCTCTCCAGCCTCCCCTGAGCCACAGCTGCGCAGGCCTGGGAGATGCAGGGGCGGGGCTCTCTGGCATCCCCTGAGCCACAGTGCTCCTGCGGGGGCCACGGGATGCGGGAGCGGGGCTCTCCAGCCTCCCCCAAGCCGCAGTGCTCCTGCGCGGGCCCGGGGGATGCGGCGGGGCTCTCCGGCCTCCCCCGAGCCACAACGCTTCTGCACGGGCCCGAGGTACGCGGTGGCGGGGCTCTCCTGCCATCCCCGAGCCGCGGTGCTCCTGCGTGGGCCCGGGGGATGCAACGGCGGGGCTCTCCTGCTGTACCCCGAGCTGCAGCTCTCCTGCACTGGCCTGGGGGACGTGGCGGCGGGGCTCTCTGGCCTCCCCCGAGCCGAAACGCAGGGAGCTGGGGGCAGGGCTTGCCACTACCGTCATTAGCGCGGGCTCCTAGACTGCCGAAGCAGTGCTCCGGCGCGCTCCGGCCCCAAAAGACCCCTGCTGCCCGTATATGCATCCTTCCCTGCACCCACTTACTCACCAGCCCTCCTTACAGTTGCATGCCCTTCTGCAATGGTGCTGGGCAGCGCATGCAACCAGAAGCACTGCTGTTACAGTGCGCCACCCACTGCAGTACTAAATAGCATGTGTGGCCAAGGGTGGGAAGGCTCACACAAGCAAGCAGCTGGGCAGCAGGAAAGGTGAGCAGGTGAGGGGGTGGCAGCGGTGGGCCCCACCAGGGGCCCTGGATCTTACCCATGGTAGGGTGACACTACCCTGCCATATGGATAGTCCTAAAGAAGGGCACCATAAGGCACCATTAAGGAAACAAGTACAAGAAATGAGATCAGAATTAGGGAGGAGAAGAGATGTAAAATTTCTGAATGTTTTGAAAGGCATGTGGGAAATTGTTCACAGAAGGAAAACAGAAATACATGCAATACATTGTGTTATAACGCTTCAACTTCACTATTTTAAGATTTTTAAAATGTTAATGTATTTATAGTCTGACTTTCTCATTGAGACTCAAGGCAGGTTATACAGTGTAAGTCGATGTGATCAGTCAGATGAGACATCTAATAAGAAGTCTTATATTAAAAAGCATTTTAGTCATTGTTTTGAAATGAAAGTATTCACAGGAGATAATCCATATACCCACCATCCATTTTTCCACTGGAAAAATGGGGGGGGGGAGTAAAAAAATAACACAACTCTCCTCCATCTCCCTGTTTTCAATTTATTCATCAGCCTTCCTGTTTCTAGCATAAGGTAAATGGAAGACAATTCTGGTAGAGATTTATAAAGCATCTGGGTTTATTATTTTGGGCAAATACTACCCTAACCATCTTTCAGGAGAAATGTCCCCTTTTTTTTGGCAAATTCTGACAGAAGCCATTTTCCCAAGCAATCTGTTTGCAATCTGTTCGACACATGTTGAGCAGGCACTTGTAGCTGAAACTGCCATGCCGTTCTTGGCAAAGAAGCAGAGTTCCCTGAAGAGCTGCCAATGTTAGCAGAACGATAGTGGTAGATTGGAAGGAATGTGGAAGTGCACAGGGCTTTACATTAATGGAAAACAAAATACTTTATTAAAATATCACAAGAAAGAAAGAAAGAAAGAAAGAAAGAAAGAAAGAAAGAAAGAAAGAAAGAAAGAAAGAAAGAAAGAAAGAAAGAAAGAAAGCTGTTTAAGACATTACCTACTGGTGATGCTGTATCATTAGAACATGAGAACATAAGAGAAGCCATGTTGGACCAGTCCAATGGCCCATCCAGTCTGAAAAGTACTGGGTTCGCCGCATGGAAGACTCAGACGATGACATGCCGGGCACACGTTTATTCAGTACTTAACAAGAGACACACAACGGCCCTGCAATGCCAATTATATACACTCCCGTCCCCGGGCCTCCCACTCCATTGGAGGGTTTGAATTTCCCGCCAAGGAGCCCATTGGTCAGCTAGGGGGGGGGGACTAGGATCCTAGGTCCCATTGTCTTTCTGGAGCCAAGCTCCTGTCTTTCTTGTGGTCACTGTGTGGCAGCTGCATACATAACACAGTCAAACACACTGTGTCACACAGTGGCCAAAAACCAGGTGCCATCAGGAGGTCCAGCAGTGGGGCCAGAACTCCAGAAGCCCTCCCGCTATTGCCCCCCAAGCACCAAGAATAAAGAGCAGTGAGCACTACTGCCCCAGACATAGCGTTCCATCCATACCTTGTGGCTAATAGCCACTGATGGACCTTTGCTCCATATGTTTATCTAATCTGCTCTTGAAGCTGTCTAGGCATGTAGCCACCACCACTTCCTGCGGCAGTGAATTCCATGTGTTAATTCCTCTTTGGGTGAAGAAGGACTTCCTTTTCTCTGTTCTAAGCCTACTGCTCATCAATTTCATTGAGTGCCCACAACTTCTTGTGTTGTGAGAAAGGGAGAAAAGTACTTCTTTCTCTGCCTTCTTTATCCCATGCATAATTTTGTAAACCTCTGTCACGTCACCCCTCAATTGTCGTTTCTCCAAGCTATAGCAGCCTGATAAGAGGAGTAGGACTAGGCGTTCTCTTTTGAGCATGCCACTGCACAGTTGAAGCAATTTACAGCACATTAATTTAAAAAAAGTAACCTGCAGTTACGACTGCTTTGAGGATAAACGCAGGCAAAATGAATTTTAAAGCAGTTACTGCAACATACTGAGTAATAAATAAAATTGAACTTGGAACAGTAATGAATTCTCACAAGAGCAGGAGCATCAAATAAAATGCAGCCAAGAGGTTTGATAAATGGGAGGAAGGGTGTTTTGGACCAGAGAATGGAAAAAAAAGGCTAAATGGAATGTGAATGGCACCAAAATGACAGTCACTTATATGGAGAGTGTGTCCTCTGCAAATAGCAACTGCCTGTTCACACCGGATTCTCTGTGGTGGCTCCCACTTTGTCAAACGCCCTGCCTGAAGGGTTCAGGAAGGCCCCCACACTTCTGTCATTTTACAAAAAGATTAGAGCCACAATATAATGGAACAGCTCAGAAGATCACTACTATAAGGGACGGTACTTTAATCTCTTGCAACGTTTATTGTACCTGTCACCACCATTTTTAGGACATTGTCCTCTGCCTTTGTAACCTTCTTTCTTCATTGTTATGTCGTGCAGCAGACAGGTTTTGTTGACTTTTTTTTGTTTGCACTGTTTTCCAGTTCTATAATCATAGTCCGATTACATTGTTTACTGGAGGTCTTTGCTGACTGATTGAATGGCCTTTCATATCTTGTAATCCGTTTTGAGACTCAGTAAGAAAGATGAGATATAATTAAGTTCCTGTTGCTGTTGTTATAGTCAACAACTACAACTATTCTACCTGGCGATAATTTTGCGGGGGGGTTGTTGTTGTTGTTGGGGAAGGATTGAATTAATGTTGTTCTACCTGCAGGCTGAAGGATTAGAGTCCAGAAAAAAGATTTACCACAAAATTGTGCTAAATTTGTTTTTCAGAGTAAATCCAAAACTAATTCAATCTTACTCCAGGTATGATTGCCAACTGGCCAGAATGAAATTGGCCTGGGTTGTTTCCTTACTTCTGGGCTAGGTGCCAAATACAAGGGCCATACCTAGGGATGCCAACCTCCAGGTGGGACCTGGGGATCCCCTGGAATTACAGCTCATCTCCAGACTACGGAGATCAGTTCCCCTGAAGAAAATGGATGCTTTGGAAGGTAGATTCTGTGGTATTGTACCCCACTACATAAGAACATAAGAGACACCAATGTTGGATCAGGCCAAAGGCCCATCCAGTCCAACACTCTGTGTCACACAGTGGCCAAAAATACCAGGTGCCATCAGGAGGCCCACCAGTGGGGCCAGGACATTAGAAGCCCTCCCACTGTTGACCCCCCCAAGCACCAAGAAGACAGAGCATCACTTGCCCCAGAGCCCCTATCTATACCTAATAGCCACTGATGGACCCCTGCTCCATATGCTTCCATATGCTTATCTAATTCCCTCTTGAAGCCGTCCATGCTTGTAGCCGCCACCACTTCCTGTGGCAGTGAATTCCATGTGTTAATCACCCCACTGAGGTCCCTCTCCTCCTCAGGCTCCATCACCAAATCCCCAGGAGTTTCCCAGCCTGGATCTGGCAACCCTACCCCCCCCCATGCCAGTGGGCAGAAGGGACCTGGAAACCCTAGGCACACCATCCCCAGTCCGTTTTTAGAGGGCTGTTGTCCTGGAGTTGCATCTTTGGACCTGCCAGTCATGATTAAGCCCTGTCCCTGGACCCCTGGACTGAGTTTCTGTATCAGATCTGCTCTGGGACTTACTCCCTGAACCAGAAGAATTCACCCCCAAGCTCCACCCCGAATTCTGGGTTTTAGGGGTTAGCAACCTTACCTTAAGCTGAGCATTTTCCAGCCATCTTCCATATAACAAGTCCATGATTGAAATCTCTGGGACCTAAGATTGTTTAATTTTAAGTGGATCATGTCCATAACCAAACGCACTTCAGTCCCATTGCTTACAGCCTGCATGTCTAAGAACTTGGTCCTAAACATATCCACTCAGAAGTCAATGCTGTTGATTTCAGTGGGACTTACTTTCAAGTAAGTGAGCAGAGGACTCTAGCATTAAGCATATTTTAGTTGAGTGCATCCTATATATCTATGCTACTCCCAGTTCTTTCCTATGTAGTGTAAAAACACTGAGCTATATAAAAATATAAACAACTGTGCTATGACGTAAAGCCCAATGGTTATTTACCTATGATTTACTATGGTTATTTTCTTCTTGTACATTTTTTTGTGCAAAGAAACAAACCACATCTCATTCCCCTCATTTGTTTGCATATGTCAAACTGGAATTTAGATTCAACTGCACATAGTTACAAACCTCTGTTCCGACCTAAAGCTTTCTTCTTTACGCTCTAGGAACGAAACAACGGTGGCCGTACCATTACCATGGAGGACTGCCTTCACACTTCCTCTGAAAACCTTTCTAAACTGGTCAGCTGGGCCCACAGTCATGGAACCATTTGTAGTCTCATTCCAAATCTCAAACATCTACTGTCAGAGGGGTCCCATGGCAACCTAACAGCTATGTGGGGCTGCAGTGCAGGCCATGCCTATCACTGGCCACTCACGGCGACCTGTAGGGCTGGCTCACAGGAAAGCGTGGGACAACAGAAGCTTCCATTCGAACAGTCCCAGCATCATAGGCGTGACATCAGACACACAAACCAGCCCTGTGGAACGGTACTCTGGAAGGCCAGGGAAAACGAAGCTGGACTGTAACCGAACCAGAGATTCCTGTGATTTCTCCTACTGCAGTGAGCCTTCTGAATTAGATGAAACCGTGGAGGAATATGAAGATGAAGCGACACTGTTCGACATGGTGTGTGAGTCCTCGGTGACAGATGAAGACAGTGACTTTGAACCTCATCCACAAAGAACTCAAACCATTTCCCGTAAAAGGCCAGGCCTGAGTCCATCCTCCTCATTTCATTCAGGATCTCAGGCAGTTGATGGCAGCAGTGGTGATGCTATAGTAAAAAAAATCAAGCAAGAAATCCCCGAGGATTATTATATCGTGGCTAATGCAGAGATTACCGGTGGCATTGATGGGCCTGCCTTGTCGTTGACGCAAATGTCAAAACCCAAAACTCACCCCGGAGCTTCCTACCCTGTGCCCCCTAAGCCAACTCCCCATACCTCCCCCTCGCTTGGTGCTGAATTTGATCTGCAAAGCGTCTCTGCCTCTTCATCTGTCGTATCACGCCCAGTCGTTCAAAAGCCTCCCAAAGTAACTCTGGCCTCTCCAAGCAGAGGGCCTGGTAACACCCCAGTGGCCAACCCTCAGGTCGCCCTCCAGATGCCAGCCAGCACTTCCAACGCCGGCAAACAGATAAGCATTCCTCTATCGGCTTTGCAGCTTCCTGGGCAAGAGGAGCAAGCCGCCTCGGAGGATCTCCTCCAGCCTGCACCGAATCAGGTTCCCAGTGATGTAGCGTTGTCGCCTTCCGTTAGCACAGAGCCAGAAGTGAGCTCTAGCCAGCAGCAGCCAAGCGCAGCTCCCAACCTCACCACCGAGCCAGCGGCACAGACAATGCCAGGTATCAGAACTTTCACAATGCTTCTTGAGACATAGTCATTTCGGGTGTGGGCTTTAAAAAAAAAAAAAAAAGGATTCAGTGCGTGTTCCGAAGGTCAAAGTTTTAGCACGATTCAAGTACTGCTGCTAAAGGGGGCAATTCAAATAAGTATGCAAGAAAGTATTAACATTGGTATAGAATTGGTGCTGTTTGGGAATGACTTGATTAATGCAAAGGTAGTAAGTTCCAGTGTGAAAAATCGCTTAGTGCTTATCATGTTGGGTGTGGCCTATTATGCTAATGTGTTCCTGCTGGGCATGGTCAACTTGGGAGCCAGCCGGAACTCCGTTCCTGTGCGTTCCTGCCCAAAAATAGCCCTGAATTAAACTATGCTTTTATATTAAGTCTGAAATGAGTTCTTTCTTTCTGTCTGGCCACTTCCGCACTGTCATTTTTGGCACTCGTTTGTCCCTATTGCTTCAGGTGGAAGGGGGGGGGGGGCCAAAGCAATAGGGAAAAATTAGTGACAAAAGTGACAGTGTGGAAGTGGCCCCTGTGTCCGTCAGTCCGTCCATCCAGTACTGCTCATACAGCTATTGCCTTAAGCAGAAATTAGAATCTGTCTCTGTCTGTCTGACTCTTACCATACTTCAAATACCAAGGAAACTCTGAACAGGACCTGATTGACCTTTCTGACAGGCTTGCCAACAGCAGCTTGGGAAATTGGGGGGGGGGCGCGTGCTAGGAGAAAATGGAGTTTATGGAGGGGAGGGACTTCAGTGGGAATATGGTGTCCCTGTAAGAATTCTGTTTCTCCTACAATTTGTGGTATAAAGTCCAGCCTCCAAAACTGCCATTTCCTCCAGGGGAACGGCTCTTGGCAGTCTGGAGAGCTATTGTTATTTGGGAGAACTTCAGGTGCTTCTTTGAGGATGGTAGCAAAACACTTCAAGATTGCTGTGATGTCTTTTAACTCTGCCTCACTAAAAACTCCTGGCAATTATACTGAACAAAAAACGCCCGTATCAAGTCAAAACCAAATGACATTACATTCTGAACTCTTATTGTAAGTGGTCAATCTCCTTTTTGTGTGTGTTTGTGTGTGTGTGTTCAGGGATTATATGTACCCATGTCCCAGAGCCCACCTTCTTCAGGCACAAAATGGAAGAGAAATATGCAACATCAGCTTCTGTGATCAGCAAAGAGAGTGAGGCCTCTGGATGATCTAGTCTTGATACAAATGCTAGGTAGGGATGCCAGGCCTCTTGCAATAGTGGGAGCCCTCTTGGTATTCCCTCTCACTGCCCGCCAGCACTTCAGGCGGTGACAGGAGGAGACGGGGGAACAAATGCAAGCTAGTGTGTCTACATCACTTCTGGTAAAAACTGTAAGCGATATAAGGGACTGTGATGGACTGTCTAGCATTTTGCAAAAAACTCTATGGCAAAACCACAGAGCTTTTGCAAAATGCTAGAGCATCCCCTATAGTTGTGGTTGCACGCGCCAGAAAAAAATGGGCGGGGGGGAGCGAGGCTATTTCCTTCGGAGGAATTTGACCCACAGTTGCACTATCACACGTCCCTTTGAAGCTGCGGGCGCAGTCCGTCAGCGTGTGATCAGATGCAACTGCAGGTGAGTCTTTTGTGTGTGTGTGTGTGCTGTTTCCCCCCCATGTGCTTAACTGAGGGATCGATTAATCGCATCTCCGTACCGAGGACTCCCTATGGAGTTTGCAATGATGCACATACTGTGAAGGGGGGGAAAACAATGGCACAGAGTCGGGATGGCCTGATCAGACCATCCTGACGCCATGAGAGCGTGCTGGAGTGATCAGACACGGGAAAGTCCGTCTGTGACCCGTTGCAACCCATTTACTACCGGATTTTCCCCAGTGTTTTTTAACTCTGCTTCTGCAGCGGAGCAGAACGGGCTGCCAACGGGTGCGGGACGCTCCCCAGATGTTGTCTCATCGCGCCCTTTAAATCCACCCGGCATTCACACCTATGTCTGGTCTCATTGTGCATATGATTGCAGCCCTATGTCACTTATGGGTTTTTTTTACCAGAAGTGATGTAAGTGCACATATGGGCTACCAGTGTGCCAAGCTGCTTCCCAGTTCCGCCTGGGGGTTTGGTGCTGTGGCCTGACAATCCTAATGCTGGGGGTCTGGCTCTCTTTTTTTACAAACTGAGTGGATTTACAGTACTATCCTAGGCACTGTAGACAAAAGTGCTACTTTATTCAGTGGGGCTTACTACCAGATAAGTGTGCATAGGATTACAGTGTTAACTTAATATTTCTCTTCCACTCTTGTAAGTTTTATGCTTTTGTGCAGTGGATGTTGACGTCACATTTTTTCTAATGTTGCAGCTTTATCTGATTTGAGTACTTTAAAATGTTTAATATTACTGTTGAGCTAGTAGGGGATTTTTTTGTTTGTTTAATATCTCTATGCCTTATATCCTTCATGTTGTTCCCTTGTTGTACATATAATTGTGCAAACACAATTAGCTGCAGAAATAGATGTTTACAAATGGCAGGTGTTTTATCAACTGAGAAAAGAGAATGCTTGTCTTGAATATTTGTTTTTGAATGCCTCAGACATAAATTGTGTTGAACAAAAAAAAAGTGATTCATTTCAAATGCAGAGTGATTTTTTAATATGATCTTTAGAATCCTGTTGTATGGCAAACTTCCTGGATGGAAGTTTGACTAACCAAAGTCCATCACAATCCTTTTATGATGAAAATAAAAATTTTCCGTTCATCAGTTTTATATCCTCGGTTATCTAAGCAACTATGCAGTAAAAAGACTATTAAACTTAGAAATAAGTTTATATTCTGATCTTTTGTAATTCTGACTATTCAAAATGCCTCCAAAATCTCTAGCAAATGCTTAAACCTTCCCTCCTGAAATGCTTTATGTAGTTGTTGTTGGGAGGATGTCTCGGTGGTAGAGCATCTGCTTTGCTTGCAGAAGGTCCCAGATTCAACCCCTCTGACTCTAGCTAAAAGGATCACAAGTAGGTGATGTCAAAGACCCCTGCCTGAGGCCTTGGAGAGCCGCTGCTAGTCAGAGTAGACTTGATAAACCAAGGCTCTGACTCATGCGTATGTGTGTTCATGTTAACCAAATGATGCATAGCTGATTTCAGTGACGGGGGCAGGGTCCGTAATGGCCTCTTTGTGTTGCATTGTGAAATATTCATTATGTTAAGCCTTTGTTTTTATTTATTTATTTATTTTTGGATTTGTATCCCGCCCTCCCCGAAGGCTCAGGGCGGCTAACAAGGGCATAAATGCCAGGTTAAAACAGTAAAAACAGTATAAAAAGTGCAGTAATAGAATACAATACAATCAATAAAACATCGGTGCTCCACTGATCACTCAATTCATAAAACCAAGATGGTGTTCTGGAGGTGTTATAACCCCTATTGAGTTCTGTCATTTACATTGTATTGCAAAGGTCCAGACAGATCTAGTTGGGAACTATCCAACCCTTGATCACTGATGCCACGAAGAAGAGAAGAGATTGTCTTTATACCCAGCCCTTTACTACCCGAAGGAGTCTCAGAGTGGCTTACAATCTCCTTTCCCTTCCCCTCCCCACAACAGACACCCTGGGAGATAGGTAGGGCTGAGAGATCTCTTTCGAGAACTGCCCCTGAGAGAACAGCTCGGAGAGAACTTTTGACTGACCCAGGGTCACACCAGCAGCTGCATGTGGAGGAGTGGGGAATCAAACCCGGTTCTCCCAGATTAGAGTCCATGCTTCTAACCAATACACCAAGATTCCTTGCTTGTTTAATCTTATGTATGGCAGAAAGTGCTTACGATGCTCGTTTTATCCCTGAACCTAATATTCAGGGTCTGGCCCCTGTGCAGATAGGCAGATATGCACAATAGGCCCCGCTATGGCTGCAATTTAGATCAATCTTTTTCTTTTAACTTTATTTTGGAGTTGCTGTAATAAGCCAGAATTGTACGTAGTATGTTGCTGCATCCACCACCAGGAGGAACAGGGGAGGGAGGATGGAGCCAGCTGCAAGAGGTGGATCCAGAAGGGGAGGGCAGAGCCAAGGGGTGGGGGGGGAGAGACTGAGCTGGCTGCAAGGAGGGAGAAACCAGAGCCTCTGTGAATCTATGTAGCACTTCCTTTGGTAACAAGTACATTATCAGCTCCAAATCCTCAGGGAGAGGATGTACTTCACATCTAAGTTAACAAAGGGACACAGAGACCCTTCCAAGAGAAATCAAAGTAATTCTGGATATAACACTATGCAAGTACAGAAACAGCAGTGTCTTCCTTGCATTGTTGCAAGGCAATCCGCTGTGCGAGAGGCAGTAGCAAAACCTTACATAACATCTCAGTATCTTTCCAGAACTCTCTGTGAACAAGCACTCCTGGCCCATAGAGTTTTGCCTTTATGATTATGAACAGCAGGATGGACAGCTCTTGGCTAAGTCAGTTGCTGGAGATAGCCTTCAGGGTCATTTCGAGATGGTGATGGTCAAATGAACAATTAAACCACTGTTGCAGATTAATCGGATGTGCTCTTTCTTTCTCTCCTGCTTGAAATAGGGGAGTTCAGAAGTCACTAAGTATTCACTCTATAAGCTGAGCCTAGTTCTGCTGCAGAGCTGAATATAACATTAACTCCCTGATACATCATTTTTGAAAAAGAAATATTTCTGTTTTAGTAAATGTGGGGGAGATGGTGTTTTTTTCTCATGGCCCAGAAATCATAAATGACGTTTAAATGAAACTTTTATTAAAATTACAGTCTATGCCGAAACGCGTTAGGTCTATCTTATTAGGTCTATCTTATTAGCCCTTGTATGTTTTTATAGTTTTATATGAGGTATGAATGGGCCCTTGTTTGTTATTTTAATTTATGTTGAATAAACACACACGTATATTTTTGTATATTTTATGATTAGTTTTTTCTCATGGCCCAGAAATCATGAATGACGTTTAAATGAAGCTTTTGTTAAAATTACAGTCTATGCTACCACTGCAGA